GAACTCCTGACCTCGATTGATCTGCCCACCTCGGTCTCCCAAAGTGCTGGGATTACAGGCGTGAGCCACCGCACCTGGCCTAAATTTTTATATATACGTATATATATTTACACACACACACACAGCTGACCCTTGAATAACTTGAGGGTTGGGGGTGCCAACTGCCAATGCAATCAAAAAATCCATGAGTAACATTTCACTTCCCTAAAATACTTAACTACTAATAGCCTACTATTGACTTGAAGCCTTGCTGATAACATAAACAGTTAACACATATTTTATGTGTTGTATGTATCGTATTATGTATTATGTATGTATTTGTGTGTTGTATGTTTATGGTATATTCTTACAATAAGGTAAGCTAGAGAAAAGAAATTGTTATTAAAATTGTAAGGAAGAGACAATATTATATTTACTATTATTAAGTGGACGTGGATCCATCAGGGTCCTCATCCCTGTCATCTTCACGTTGAGTAGGATGAGGAGGAGCAGGAAGAGGGGTTGGTTTTGCTGTCTCAGGGGTGGCAGAAGCACACAAAAAAGTTCGTTTATAAGTGGACCTATGTAGTTTAAACCTGTGTTGTTCAAGGGTCAACTGTACACACGCACGTTTAGAGGTACATTTACACACACGTATTGCATATCTATTTTACAAATTAAAAGTTCTGGAGTTTGGTTTTTTAAAAAATCACCTGTATCCATCTGGGTTAAAGGAAGTCTGGAGTCAGTTGTTCACAGGGAGAAAGGCATGTTTTAGTTATTGTTGCTTGCTACCGCGACCTGAGTTAGTAATCTAAGTTTACTCTCAGAAAATTGAGTGCTTGCTAAGGCTGAATAAAACAGGGGTGTGATATTTTCACTACGTTCTTCACAATTCAGAAAACATTTAGAGTTCTCTATTCAGTTCCTGGGAGCTGCATTTTAAAATAAGGTTATGTCCAGAGCCTTATGACAAGGCAAGGATGTCTTGTTAAATGATGAATGTTTTCAGGAAACCAGAATATTGAGGATAAAAGCGAGAGATTCTGGAGGTGATATATGATAGCTATGTTCAGATACTCGAAGGACAGTTACATGAAAGTGGAATCCAAGATCTTTTCTGCAGCTCCAGCATGTAGAATATTATGGGGGAGCTTGAATCAATGTAAAAAAAGATTCTCTGGCCAGGCGCAGTGGCTCAAGGCTATAATCCTAGCACTTTGGGAGGTCGAGGTGGGCGGACCACTTGAGCCCAGGTGTTTGAGACCAGCCTGGGCAACGTAGCAAGACCCTGTCCCACAAAAAAATACAAAAATCAGCCAGGTGTGGGGGTGCATGCCACTCTGGAGGCTGAGTGAGCTGATATCGTGCCACTGCACTCCAGCAGCCTGGGCAACAGAGTCAGACCTTGTCTCAAAACAAAACAAAACAAAACAAAACAAAAAAATCCTCTAATGAGGGAGTTGTCTTAAAACGAAAGGACTGTCTTAGGAGCTAATGAATTTCCTGTCACTGGAAGTACTTGGAGAAGGCCTGGGGTTTTCGGAGAGATAACTCCTTCTCAGTGCTAGATTTTGGGCTAGCTGTCTACCAGGGTCCCTTCCAAATCCAGGATTTGTCTGCCTAGTCTCCTCCTGCTGATAATAGTCATCTACATTCATTTTTTTCCCCAGTTTGTTTCCTCATTACTCTGACTTTTAATTTTTTTCCATTAATAGACATTTTTGGAACGGTTTTACATTTATAGAAAAATGAGCAGAAAGTACAAACTCCTCACTCTCTCCCTCCCCTCCAGTTTCTCCCACTATTACCATCTTTCATTCGAATGGTGCATTTGTTATCACTGATGAGACAATATTGATGCATTATTACTGTTGAGTGCATAGTTTACATGAGGGTTCCCTCTTGGTGTTGTACATTTTGTGTGTTTAGACAAATGTGTAATGACATATTCCCACCTTTAAAGTATCATACAGGGTGGTTTCACTGCCCTAAACGTCTCCTATGTTCCACCTGTTTGTCTCCTTCCCTCCCCTTGAGATGCAGGTAGCCACTGATCTTTTTGCTGTCTTCATCGTTTTGCGTTTGTCACAGTGTCATACAGTTGGAATCATACAGTATGGAGCCTTTTCAGATTGGCTTCTTTCACTTAGTAATATGCATTTATTTATTTATTTATTTATTTATTTATTATTTTTGAGATGGAATCTTGCTCTGTCACCCAGGCTGGAGTGCAGTGGCACGATCTCAGCTCACTGCG